GTATCTTTATATTTAAAGTGGGTTTTGTTTTTGATTCATCCTCATAATCTGTCTTTTAATTGGTGCATTCATGCCACTGACTTTCAGAGTGCTTACTGATAGAGTTACTGCCATATCAGGTGGCTTCTGGGGCTTCTGGGGCCGGCCTGTGACCTGGGATCAGATCCATCACGGGCGGCAGGCAGGCGGCTTCTGGCGCACATGGGGTCCTGGATGGCAGCTAGCACTCACACTGTCCCACCCTGCCTGCAGTATGCAGTTAGCTTCCATCTTTGTTGGAGGTTAATTTGCATATTGTGTTGATTACCCAATGGAAGGCATAGCGAAGGTATGATCAGTTACCATGTTTGTCTATTATTAGATAGGATAGAGGCCTGGTGCACAGGTGGGGGCTGGCTGGTTTGCCCTGAAGGGTGTCCTGGATCAGGGTGGAGGTCCCTGCTGGGGTGTCTGGCCAGCCTGGGTGAGGGGCTGATGGCTGTTTTCAGGTTGGCCACACCCCCTTTAGGGTGGCGGGAGGGGGCCCCACTGAGTTGCCTGGCCAGTCTGGGTGAGGGGCTGAGGGCCATTTTCAGGCTGGCCAAACCCCCGGTGACGGAAGCTCCCAGCCTCTCCTTTTTTTCTTTTTTATTCTGAGATTTATTTACCTTCTCTAATTGAAACATTGCCTTCAGTGGAGCTCAGGGCCAGCCGTGGCAGGCGGGAAGCTTGGCTTCCTCCATTACTGGGGCAAGCAAGCCTCCTGCTTGCTCCAGCTCCATGGCTGCCGGCTGCCATCTTGGTTGGGTTAATTTGCATATAGTTGCTCTGATTGGCTGGTGGGCATGGCTTAAGGTGTAGTGAAGGTATGGTCAATTTGCATGTTTGTTTTTTATTAGATTAGATAAGAGCGCCTACTTCATCGGGTTGTTGTGATAGTTAAATAAATATAGCAAGTATTATATAAGTGTTAGCTCTGGCCTTGTGATGATAACCCCTTTTATCCATGCAAAGAAATTGTTAGAGGTGAGCAGAGAATGGAGCAAAAATAAAGGCAAATATTTCAGAAATCTCTCACTCACAGTTATGATTAAAAATCCTCACAGCCTTTCCTGATGGAATTAGATTGGCCCAATACCTTTGCAGATCCTATTGTTGCTGAAGCAGAGCTTCCCAAGTGCCTCCTCCCCTTTAATTCATTGCCTTTTGTCACTTCTTTGGTCCCTTCTTCCCTTCTTTAGGCTCCAGACCACAGGAGTTAGGTTCGAAGCTACAAGTTCTTAGAAACGGAAAGTTGTGACTTAGCAAATCTTCCTCCACTCGGCCTGCCCAAAGTAAGGGCTCTTCCTTCTCCACCCCTGCTTTAGTCATCCCTGGGAGAGAACGACCCAAAGAGTCCTCAAACGTTTCAGACAGAGCATGCCACTCTGGTGAGAATAATTCCCAGCTCCAGCTGTGGATGACTTTGTCTCCCAGCTTTCTTGCCTGTTAAACACGTGACAGCACATTGACTAATTGCTAAGAAATGAGGTCTTGAAGAATATTTCAAAAGAAACTGCAGCAAGCTTGTCAAAAGAACTGGGCTGGCCAGGAGTGGGACAGGCGCCCAGGGTGCAGGGGCTGGCAACACAGCCCCACTGGCAGGCAGCTGAGGCACCACGCCCAGCGCCTGTCAAAGATGCTGAGAATTCAGAGCAGGGCTGCGGGAGGTCACAGAGCTGGCCCTCTCCACTCTGAGCAGAGGCCTCAGTAAGCAGACATCTGTCACTTCTGTTCCTGTTCAGGATTCCATTCTTCTCAGAGAGGCCCTGTGACGGAAAGCCACAGGGCCCTCTCCCTCAGCCCACCCTCTGAAGGTTGAGTACAGAGTCCTTTCTGGATGGAGTCATGAGATGGAAGAAGAGAAGTGTCCAGACCACCTCCTGCTGTGCTCTCTAGACCCCAACAGTGTCCTTCCCCAAACCCAGCGCTTCTCCTTTGTATTTGCCGACTCATCAAACCCAAGCACCATGTTTCCTAAACACTCACTGATCACTATTAATCAGCAAGCTGGCGGTGCTGCTGCCTGCCCTGTGAGCATCTTGTTAATGATGGGAGAAGACTGCCAAATGGCCAGCTCTGCTCCGGATGGTGAGATATGGGTCTTGCCCAGACTGAGGAGGCAAAGGCATCGCTGTGAGCCGTCTGCCACAGAACTGAGATCCCTGGCATTTGATAACAAAAAATGAGCAGGCCCTCTCTCCACGAAGAACAATGTAAAGAGTCCATCCACTCATTTCCTACCAGAGACCAAAAACAGGGTGGAGGGAAAGCTTCAACTAGGAACAAAGGCCAACTAGCCACCCCTGCATTATAGACCTTTGTGTTTCCCTGAGGCCAGGATCTAGAGATGGACAGCAGCAGCAGCATGAGGGACTTAAGCTAGATGATCAGAAGTACTTTCTCATGTGAAGGATTGCTAACTATTCTAGGGTAGGTTACTAAGGAAAGACATGTTATCTATGACCTGCAGATCCCTTACTCCAACTTAATTAGCTCAGTCTACATTGTTTATATATGTTCATTTACAAATTTGATTTTTCTATCAATACATGAAATTGAGGAGACATACTATAATATTTATTTGATTACCTTTGGTGTGCCCTCTCAATGGAGATCGTACCCTGCTAGATGCCTGGCCATGGTGCTGGCCAGGCATCACCTGAGTGATGAAGCTAGCAGGCACGTAAATAAACCTTTGCCAATCAGATGATGTGCCAAACACTGGTTAGAGGCTGAGGAACCAAGACCTGAAGAATTACAGAGATTAACAGTAGCCCAGGAGAGCACATCCTGGATGCCTAAGTGTTGCCCAGCAAGAAGAAGAAGTCAATCAGAGGAGGCTCCGTGGGGGAGCGCAGCCTAAAGATGGGTGGGGAGTTGAATGCCCATCGTGGAGGGTTGGTTTCCATCAGGAGGGATTTTGGAAAGCCCCAAGGGGAGCATATCAGGGTCTCTAGGACTGCCGTTTCTCCCCTGATATAGGTGCTCAGAGCCATGGGCCTGTCGGAATTGACCACATGGAGGGCACATCCTTTAATTAGCACTGAGGGACCTTGAGGAGCGGAGCTCTTGAAGGAGTCCTTTCTGCCTCTCAGAGCTTCTCACAGGCCCAGGACAGGGCTCCGCACATGCACCATCCCAGTCCTGGGTCCCACAGAAAGAGGATCACAATAGGCACAACTCACCCATCTGCCCTGAGAGGGCATTCGATCCACCAAGAGAGGCAAGCTTGATTGCCCAGGCCTCCCCAGGCCGGAGCTTTTATGTGGAAAGGAGTTCTCAGGGGGCCAAACCTTGTGTCTCCCCAGGCTGAGTGCAAGTCTAATAGTAACTGAGGGACTCCACATCCACTCTCTACCACCACGTGGAATTGCAAAGGAGCCAGCAGGAACAACGTCAACATTTCTGGTAAGAGTGAACTATTTTAGAAGCTGTATGGCTACATAGTTAGGAATGAAACCCCTGAGCTCAAAATGTGAAGGTTTAATTTCTAGCTCTGCCATTTATTAGCCTATAACCTTGTGTGCGAAAGAACCAGCAAGGATGAACGAAGGTCGATCTGATGCTTAAGGTCTTTTATCCTCATCTATAAAATGGAGACAGATAACCTTATAAGATTGACCTGAGGAATAAATGAGCTAATAATATAAAATGCCCAGAACAACAGCCAGGTTGTTGTAAGCACTCAAGAAAAATGCCGGTTATTATTACTAAATACGTGTCTGGCAATGGCAGTGCAGCCTTTTCGATACAGGAAGGGTTTACAGAAGCATCTAATTGAAAGGCAGAGCTTTGAGACATACATACAATGAGGAGATAATAGAAATATTTTCTTCCTAAGGTTCTTAGGAAGGATAAATGAAATGATACATATACTGTGCTTAGAACAGTAAGCACGCAGTTAATATAGTCGTTTATTTGGGATGGCTTGAAAGTGTTAAAAGGCGATGAAGGCAGGGCCAGGGGTACAGGTATCAGAAAGCCTCTTGTCAGGAAGCTCTGTTCTATGCTGAAGTTCACAGAAGTCTTCCCTGCTATGGATGAAGACAAGCATTTACACAAAGGAATTTCCTGAGAATCAATCAGGGTGCCAGACCTGGGCCAGGTTTCCATGGACACTTGCTGCATTTCTTCCCTGGAGGCACTCATTGGTCCAGGACAAACCTAAGGATTCATGTCCATCCTTCCTGAAGACCAACACCATGACCTCCAGAAGGCCTTTGGCTATAGGACCCTAGCTTCAAAGCATCTGAGTTCCTGGAGTGAGGACCAAAGATGTTCAGTCCACCTGGACCACCTGAACTGAGGACCGGGAAGAGACACAGGTGTCGGGCTGTAAAACGGAGGCCCTGAGCTCTCCTTGCTCACCAGCCAAGCAACACAGACACACACTTTCACCTACTCACCTGCTCCAGGCCTGGCCCTGACCCCCTCCCAGAGAGACGCGTGGGTGGAGAGAGAATCAGGGGCCTCGGACCACTGGGAGAACTCACTTCATGACAGTGGAGAGTTGAGCACATGCTGCCTCAGAGAACAGTGATGGAACAGCAGGGCCAAGCTTGCCCCATTCAGCCACCAGCTCAGGATGGTTTACCTCGTGGATCCCAAAGTGGGCATAGGAGTCGAAATAATAATCTCTTGAGGTCATCCACTGGGAGCTCACTTCATGACAGTGGAGAGTTGAGCACATGCTGCCTCAGAGAACAGTGATGGAACAGCAGGGCCAAGCTTGCCCCATTCAGCCACCAGCTCAGGATGGTTTACCTCGTGGATCCCAAAGTGGGCATATAAGA